GTTTCCCCCGTATCTCGTTCTCATTCATCTTTGAGTGAATCACATTGATCACTCGAGGTCCACCTGCCTGTAGTTGTGGTGCTGACGAGGGTGGTGCTGCTGGTGCCTGAGGCAGTCTTGCTTGCGCTTCCCTTGTCCTAGTTTCATCTACCAGGTCCCTTAGATGACCTTGTCTTACCAGGTCTTCCAGATGTGCCTTTAGGGCTCTGCACCCTTAAGTTAGATGTCTATCCTCATTGTGGTAGACATAATGTTTCCCTAGATTTCTTTCCATAAATTCACCAGGAAGCTTCTTTGGTGCTTTATAATAGGGCTGGTTCTGGATTCTTTCCAAGACTTTGTAAACCGAAATTCGGAATACGGTTGTGACTGCCTGTGTAGCCCTCAGTCCTGTCTCTTGCCTATTGTATCCGCCATTACCTCGGCTTCGCTTCGGCAAGCCGTTTCTATTCTCGTGTTTTGACACCTTCGTCCTAGCGTGTCCTCCTCGGCCTTGGCATACTTTTCTATCCTGGCCATAAGTTCCTCCATGCTTTTTGGTAGTGTCTTTGCTAGTGACTTTCGATGCAGACAATCATCTTTCTTACCGTTCTTAAAAGATACGACTGCCACCTCTTGGTTACACCCTGGTATTCGGTTGAACACCTCATAATACCTTTTGGCATAGGCCCTAAGGCTCTTATCCTCGCCAATTCTTAGAGCCATCAGAGAGTCCACTCTCAATGGCTATAGTTTGTTTGTCACAAACCTGGCCACAAATATCTTGGCCAGGCCTTCCCAGCTTTTCACAGTTCCTTTCGGTAACTTGTGAAACTAGTCTAATGCGATTTCCCCAAAGGATAAGGGGAACACCTTGCAGAGCAACAACACGTTCCCAGTGTATAATGCCATTGAGTTCAGGTACAAGCCGACATGAAAGTTAGAGTCCGACTTACCATCATATATCTGGAATCTCGACATATTAAACATTTTCGAGGCTTCAAATTTGTCCAATTCTATCAAGAACGGTGTTCTCGGCTTGACCGGAGAGGTTACCTCGGCATCTTATCGCTTCCTCTGGAGGTAATCCCTCAGATCCTCCTTAGTTCGTCCAGGAGCTTGGCTATCTTCGGATTTCAGCCTTTTCGGCGCGCTACTTCCGGTGTCATTGTGAGTCCTCTTGGACCTCTCTTCATTAGTTGCGTCGAAACAAAGTTCCTTCCCCTGAATATGTCGATATTCTTTGGGGTCAGCTTCTTTGGTACGATGCGTCCTCCGAGAATCTCCCTTTATTGACTCTCCTCGTCCAACTTCCCTTGAAGGCCGGGGAGAGTGTTCCTTGGTCCTGGTGTGTTGGGGAACTGTAGGAACTGCTTTTTGCCCCCCCTTTCTGGACATCTTTTTTGGCCTCTGGAATCGGCGTGTCTTGTAACGGAAATGGTGGCTGCATGTCATTGTTCTGCATCATGAAATTGACGATCGATTGCAGGTCTGCCAATTTGTTCTCCATTCCCTTCATCTCGCCGTCCTTCCACATGCATCTATCTTTCCATACCTGGAGGTCATCCTCATTATAGTACCCGTCTCAGTCTGATTTCTTTGGTACGTCGCCCTCTTGGCCGACGTCTTTCTCTCCGGGATTTCGATCCCGAGTTTCCTTGTTGCAGTTATCCTCCTCTACATTACGGTCAATGTGCTTACTACTCCCAGTAGAGATGTTGTCCCCAACCTTTTCTTTCTATTCGTCGTTGGCCATCTATTCTCCTTTCATTCCCACAGACGGCGCCAAATTGTGTGTGCTATTTTCTAACCACACTGCCAAACAGGTACTCAGCTGGAGAACACCGGCAGACTAGATTGCGCCCGAATGACCTGTAACAGAAAGAAGAGACTCCGGCGGTGGTTCTTCCACCCGGGGGGACTCCGACGATCAAGTCAGTTATCTCTCAAAGATAGCAAAAGTGCCTAACTCTCTATTCAGAATACAAAAAGCGTACCTTAGACCCACGAGGGTGTCTCACTTTTATAACCAATACTGACTTGATCCATGTAGAAGCCTAGCTTCAATGGACTCTGACTCAATACTTATCATGGACTCTCAAATAGATGGAGATAAACTCCCTAAGAGCTTTATCTTTATCCAAACTGAGGTCCTCCCCCATTCTAGGACTCTTGTCCCTTATCCGCTCATCTCGGATTCTGGTATATCCGCTGATAACCTTGGCCTAGCCGAGATTGCCTCGGCGTCAAGTCAAGGATACGTGGCACCTCGGCTAGCACTTCGGTGCCACCTTAGCCACGTGTTGCTATCCAAAAAATATGTCCCCACAATTTTGTATTGAAAGTTTGAAAAAAAATACATTTTGCTAATATCATTATGGAAAATATTAGAGACCATGTTTACCACACTTTAGCTTTCACTAATTCATTGGGCTATTTTGAAAAGCTTTTAACTCATTTTGAATCATCAAAAATGTTTGAGATCTAATTGTGTGGGCCCCATAGTGATAGTGATATTTATGTTTGTGTTTGTGTTTGTGGTTTTATTTTATTTTTCACATCACTAAAGCTGGGTTTAGAGCCCCAGCTCTAGAGCTCTAAATCACCATTCTTTGAATTATATCATCTCTTACATTTTTTACACATTAAAAAAAAAAAAAATCAAAAAACAAACTTTTAACTATCTTTATAAAACAACCCATTATTGCTTACTATTAAAATGATCTTCCAAAAGAGATTTTTATTTATTTATTTTGGATAAGCTCCCAGGAGCGATCTTGATTGAGCAATTCTTTTCCACTAACTTGGATGAAATGACTTAAATAAATATGGGTATGACTTTTGTCCAGTTCGGGATCGAACTGGACCGTGTTGTTGGGTCCATGGAGGCCCACTACGGGTCTCGTTTTGATAATATGAACCGTTCAATGTGTAGAAATCGTCGAGTACTATATATTTGTAAAAAATCACGTTGATCGGATATCGATAACTATGTGATCAAAACAGTTTTTTGTCCATCGTTAATTTGTTAACCGTCCAATTTTTTTAATACGAAACTGATTTGATCATATAGATATCGATATCCGATCAACGTGATATTTTATAAGTATATAGTACTCGACGAGTTCTACACATTGAACGGTTCAGATTATCAAAACGGGACTTGTGGTGAGCCTCCACAGACTCAACAGTACTGTCAAATCCGATCCCGAACCGGAGAAAAACCATACCCAATAAATATTGTATTTGTCTGATTGAGATGTGCTTGAACTTAACATCGAACCAGCTAAAATGGTTTTGAAAGTGAAAATGTGAGATTTTCAAAAATACTTTTCCGGAAATTTTATTATCTTATTTTTTATATTTTTTTATTTTTATTAAATTTTTTTTAACATTTTAAGAATTTTTTTTAAAAAAATTTAGACATACTAACATAAATACACTTAAAAAGTATAATATTTGTGAAAAAAATTTAAAAAATACACTAGATACCAAAAAATATAAATATATATATATATATATACGAAAATTCAGTACATTTTTCATATTTATATTTTTTTACAATTTTTTTATTTAGATACATCTAAATAAGGTGCATCTAAAAAAGTAAAAAAAAAAATATTTAAAATTTTAAAAATATTCACTAAAAACAAAAAAATACAAAAACAAAAAAATTTAATTTTCAAAAAATTTAATCCAAAAAATTCAAATCAAATATGATAGTGATGGAGGAAACATCAACTAGTGACAGTTGCTCTAATTTTTTATTTTTTATTTTTTTAAGGTTCAGATCAAAAAACAAGACAAACAGCGGCTATTCACTTTCGTCCATTGTTCTTCCCCGTATCGAGCTTCCTAGGTAAATTCTTTTTCTAACCAAAATTTTAGTTTTACAGATTTTACTTTACGCTGTGTTTGGTTAGAGGATTTGAGGAGAAATTTGGACAGAAAAAGAGAAAAATTAGGTAAAATATGAATAAAATATACCTATATTTCATCTAGTTTTACACACATTTTCTCTTTCTTTTTTAAATTTCTTTCTAAATCTCCAAACTAAACACAATATTAGAGTTTAGGATTTGGATTTTATAAAGTAAAATCTTTGTATCAATCACTAAAATTTGGAAGGTAATCTGGAAACCTCAGCTACTGTTTGCTTTGTTTTGTTTTATTGCTTATTTTTAATTCTCTGTCTTTTCGATGTCGGACTCAATACGGAGTATCTAACATATCTTTATCTGCATACGACAAAAGTCCATACGCAAGCATTCACGACAGACCTTACCTTCGAATTTATATATATATTAGTAGGTGGCACACATGATGTGTGTGTAATTTAAATAAGTAGAAATAAAAAATAATAATAACAAAATTAATATTATAATGTATATTTAGTTTAAGTGGTATGAGTTTTCGTACTTAAAAATAAAAAATACTGTCACATGGCATGAAGAGAGTAAAGCTTCAAGACACCAAAGTTCCTGTTCACTTTATAATAGTATATATAGAAGATATATATATACATGGGAATGACTTCTAATTCGTGATCGAACTGTAAGGTACTGTTAAACTTGTGATAGTTCATTAAAAATTTCGTTTCGATAATTCGAACTGTTTTATGTGTAGAATTCATCGAATATTATATGTCTGTAAAAAATCACATTGATCTCATATCAATATCTATGTGATCAAATTATATTTTTATAAATTGTTAATTTTTTACCGTCCATTCTTTTTCATTCAAAAATGATTTGATCACATAACTATCGATATCCGATTAATATGATTTTTTTACAGGCGTATAGTATTCGACGAATTCTAAACATTAAAGGTTCGGATTATCGAAACAAGATCCGTGGTGACCTCCCCGAGCCTAACAATATCCTCCAATCCAATGGTCCGTGATTGTACCGGAGAAAAGCCATGCCCTTTGTATATATATTATTAAATTATTCTGGTATGGGCCTCTAGTTTTCATCGCTGTCGATGATGCATCAAACCCATTGTTATATAAATTCCTATATATACATATACATCATTCAGTGCATCAACATTGCTATAATTAGCATCAATAACCAAAAAATACAGAACCCAAAAACAGAGATCGACCATGGATACCAAGCAGAGCACTATCAATGTCCTAATGCTACCATGGTTGGCCCATGGTCACATCTCTCCTTTCCTAGAGCTTGCCAAGAATCTCTCACACAGAAATTTCCACATATATTTGTGTTCTACACCAATAAATCTCAAATCCATCAAGAATAGAATCACTGAAAAGTACTCTCACTCCATTGAATTAGTAGAAATCCACCTTCCATCTGAAAAATAACTGATGTATTATTATTGATGTATTGATGTATTACAAGATGTATTGTATTACAAATCAGAGTGGGTTATTATATAGGAGAGAGTTTGGGTAGTAGGTGAGGAGTAGGTGAGGGTGAATTGGTGGTAGGTGGAGTGTAGTAGGTGAGTGTGAATGGTAAATTCTAACACTTTCTATTATTGTTCTCACCATGCAGGTTGAGGTACTAAGCTACATAAGACATCCAAACATGGTTCTTCTTCTGGGTGCCTGCCCTGAGTATGGATGCCTTGTTTATGAATACATGGAAAATGGCAGCTTAGAAGATAGGCTCTTCCCGAAAAACAACTCTCCTCCATTGCCATGGAAAACACGCTTCAGAATATCTGCTGAGGTCACCACTGCTCTTCTTTTTCTTCACCGAACAAAGCCACAGCCTCTACTGCATTGAGACCTCAAACCTGCAAACATTCTTTTAAACCGAAACTATGTGAGCAAGATCAGCGACGTTGGTTTAGCCAGGTTGGTCCCACCATCTGTCGCTAATGGTGTCACTCAATATCAAATGACCGCAGCGGCTGGGACATTTTGTTACATCGATCCCGAGTGCGAACAAACGGGGTTGTTGGGTGTGAAATCTGATGTATATTCATTGGGTGTTATGTTGTTACAAATTATTGCAATCCCAAATGTCTCCAACATCTTCAAAACACTAAGCCCAGATTTAGTTATTTATGACATCAACCAGGCATGGGTACCAACCATTGCATCCCCGTTTAATGTTCCGGTAGTTCAGTTCATGACTACAGGAACTACAGTGGTTTCTTATAGCATTCATTTCATTAAGAACCATGGCGGTGTTGAATTCCCATTTCCAGAAATTAAGCTTCGGGAATTCCATGAAAAGCAGTATCACGATACGCTGTTGTCTGCAGTAAATCATCCCCAAAACAAACAAGATGCCCCTGTAAATGTCAAACCATCTTGCAACATCTTGCTGTTCAACACTTTTAGAGAGCTTGAAGGAAAATACATTGATTATCTGTCGGTTATAAATGAGAAGAAGGTTGTCCCTGTTGGTCCCCTTGTTCAAGACATTGTCGATGAAATCGAGCAATCTGAGATCATGCAATGGCTTGACAAGAAGGGTGAGTCCTCCACTGTGTTTGTTTCCTTTGGGAGTGAGTATTTTTTGTCCAAGCATGAGATTGAAGAGATAGCCCATGGCATAGAGCTTAGTAAGGTTAATTTCATATGGGTTGTTAGGTTTCCTATGGGAGAGAAAGTTGAGCTTGAAGAAACACTGCCTAAGGGGTTTCTTGAGAGGGTTGGGGAGAGAGGAATGGTTGTGGAGGGTTGGGCTCCACAGGCAAGAATTCTGACCCATTCAAACACTGGTGGCTTTGTGAGTCACTGTGGATGGAATTCTATAATGGAAAGCCTAAAGTTTGGGGTTCCAATTATTGCCATGCCAATGCATTTGGACCAGCCATTGAATGCTAGACTGGTGAAGGATGTTGGTGTGGCTGTGGAGGTCAACAGAGACATCAATGGAAAACTCAATAGAGAAGATATTGCCCAGGTAATAAGGAAAGTTGTGGTGTCGAAAAGTGGGAAGGAACTAAGAACTAAAGCAAGAGATTTTAGCGAGAATATAAAAATGAAAGGAGATGAACAGATGAATGAGGTTGTAGAAGAGCTGATGCAACTTTGTAAATCACTCAAAGATTAGAATCTCAAATTTATTGAAATGTTTGGGTGATTAGGTAAGACAGTTTAATGTGATTTGGTCCTTCCTGTTTTGAGTGTCATTTTCGTGTTAAAAGTTTCTATAAAATTATTGTTCCTACCTCGTTGATTTGCATCTTGCTCGTAATTTTTGTTGTCTGCCTTTTTATGTTTATTTTAGATGGATCTAGTGTTTTGTTTTATTGCAAGTAGTTCATACACTTGAAATGAACTAAAAAAATTGTATACTCCCGCATGTAATAATCAACAAGTTTCTAAACATAAAAACTAATTATAGAACAATGGACGGATAAGATTTTCTAAAATTGGACCTCACAAACAAACTTGTCAAATTTTGTCATTTTTATGTATTTTATGTCGGATTATGTAATTAATTTATGTGTTGAAAGAAAAACTGTTTTGCTAATATCTCAAAATGATATATGATATCTTCATATATATTGTCATTCTTAAGATGTTAGAAAACAGATGATTAACAGCCTACCTTCTAGAATTGTGATCAATTTTTGTGTTCCGAAACTTTTTCTTCTAAAAATCGAATGCAGAAATCTGAACTTATTTATCTGTTTAAGATCATAAAGCTGGATATGTGTGATTGAAGAAGTCTTATATTTTTTTCTTGTGGTTTTTCATTCACAAGCAGGGTTTTGCTTCCTCTTTTTTATTGGTGTTGTTCTGTTTTGAAAAAATGAAAATGAAACCAACTAAAATAATTGATGTTAGAGTGAATGAGAGTTCATGTTGGGTGGAGGAATATTTTTTTTGAGTCCACAAAGCCTTTTATTTTTTAAATTTCAAGGGGTTTGACTCAGTGAAACATTTCAAATTTTGGAGTTATTAGGAGTTTTTCGATATTTAATTTGATACGCATAAATTATCTGGACACTTATTATAAAAATAAAAATAAAAATTTATTTTTTAAGTTCGCTGTTTTCTTTTAGTGGGACTTAAAAAAAAGTATAATAAGGGTGTTTTTACAAAAAAAAATAAAAAAAAAAAAGTTAAAAAGTAATTTTTAATCATCTTTTCAAAACCCTCCCACTTGTTTTAAAAATTACGAGAAACCTTTTTTGAGTCAATGCTCAACAATGAAAAATGGCAAGAATTTAGATAATGTCATCAGCAATTACCTGCGGAGTATCTACCATAACTCCATACGCAAAACCAGAGTCCTCTCTCTCTCTCTCTCTCTCTCTCTCTCTCTCTCTCTCAGTTTATATTATTGAATTCACGCATTGGCTTCCAGTTTTCATTGGTGTATCAGGCCAGTTCTGATTTTTTCGGATATAAATGTTAACTTTTAACTCGGGCATTTTTCATACATATTTTACAAAAAAATAATTATGTGTCTAATTTTTATTTTTTTAAAATATATTTGACAGTACTCGTAAAAAAGTTATTTTCAATATATATATATATATACATTAAAATTTATCTAAATATACATTAAAGTTTATATTAAGAAAATGATTAAAATGATCTAAATTGAAGTATCAAACAAAAAGTAAATAAACTGTAACAAAAATTACTTAAATATCATTCTTCAATCATTTTTAACTATAAAATCACTAATCTAGTTCCCATAATCCAACTTATAAGCTAAATTATTTTCGATGGATAAAATCGCTAATTTATTTAATCTTTCATTTGACATGGTTGAGTAAAAGTAAAATCTAATCAACTTTTAATTTGAATATAGTAACTACATGTAATATAATCAGTCTTATTCTATACATTTGGAATATAACCATTCAATAATTTACCACATCCGATAAAAAAATAACTATCTATTAGTTTTAAATAATTTATCATATCAACCATATATTAGTTTTAAATTATAATTGAATTTTGTTGAGTCCCTTTAAATTTTAGTAAGATTTTTTTTTAGATTAATATAATAATTAACAAAAATTTAGAGTATTTTTTATAGTCAATTTTTGGGGACCCGGCTTTGCTGGCTTGTGCCCAAAACCGGCCCTGATTGGTATCTTCATGAATCAACGTCCTTACATAAATCAATATATAACATTGATCGTATTTGTTATATTGATCATCACCAAACAGAGCAAAACAGAGGGAGAGAGAGAGAGAGAGAGAGTAGAGATCATGGATACAAAACAGAGCAAAATGAATGTCCTAATGCTACCATGGTTGGCCCATGGTCACATCTCTCCCTTCCTAGTGCTTGCAAAGAAACTCACACAGAAATTTCCACATATATTTGTGTTCTACCCCAATCAATCTCAGTTCCATCAAGAAAAGAATCACTGAAAACTATTGTCTCTCAATTGAACTAGTAGAAATCCACCTCCCATCCTCGCCTGAGCTTCCTCCTCACTACCACACCACAAAACAACCTTTGAAATGGCAAGCCCAAGCTTCTTCACCATCCTCAACACACTAACCCCAGACCTCGTCATTCATGACTTCTGGAGCTGCTGTAGTTTCTTATGGAACCCACAAGATCAAGATTGGCAGTGGTGTTGAATTCCCATTTCCGGCTATTTAGCTTTCTAGATTCCATGAAACACGGTTTCACCATATGATCGAGAATGCGACAACAAAAATCCAAAGACAAACAAGATGCCCCTGTAAATGATCAACATGAAATGAAACCACCTTGCAAGATTGTGTTGTACAACACTTTTCGAGAGCTTGAAGGAAAATACATCGATTATCTGTCAGATATAGGTGGGAAGAAGGTTGTCCCTGTTGGTCCTCTTGTGAAAGAAATCATTGATGATGAAAACGAGCACTCTGAGATCATACAATGGCTTGATTACAAGGATGAGTCCTCCACTCTGTTTGTTTCCTTTGGGAGTGAGTATTTTATGTCTAAGGAAGAGATTGAAGAGATAGCTCATGGGTTAGAGCTTAGCAAGGTTAATTTCATATGGGTTGTTAGGTTTCCTGTAGGAGAGAAAGTTGAGCTTGAAGAAGCACTGCCAAAGGGGTTTATTGAGAGGGTAGCACAGAGAGGAATGGTTGTAGAGGGTTGGGCACCACAGGCAAGAATTCTTGCCCATTCAAGCACCGGCTGCTTTGTGAGTCACTGTGGATGGAATTCGTATTGCAAAGCTTAACATTTGGGATACCAATTGTAGCAATGCCAATGCATTTGGACCAGCCATTAAATGCTAGACTGGTGGAGGAGGTTGGTGTGGCTATGGAGGTCATTCGAGACGAGAATGGCAGACTCAACAGAGAAGCGATAGCACAAGTAGTAAGGAAAATTGTTGTGGAAAAAAGTGGGGAGGATATAAGAATTAAAAGTAGAGAATTTAGTGAGAAAATAAGAATGTGTTGGCTTTTTTGGCTTTTGAATGTTATTTTTGTAATTGTGAGCGTGCCAGCAAGGATCAATCAGTCCTTACAGAAATTTAATTGACAACCAATTATCAGACGATTGTGTTTTAGTTCTTTCAGCCTCAATGAAGAGGACTTTTACTGGTGGCTTTGCTTAGGAGGAATAAACTGACAATGATTAAATGAAGAACAATTGCAGTATTACGTAAAACAAAAAACTTACAATGATCCAATTCAGTTTCGTAGAGATTTACAGCAACAATTTACTTGAAACTACTCCTATGAACGAAGTGCAGTGCAGGAATTTTAAAGTACAAAAATACAAAGAACAGGAAATGCAAAACTGGAAAGGAAATAAAGTAGATAAAATTGGTTTTTTGGATCTGAGTCTGGGGCTTTTTCTGGGGCCTTCTCTGCTATTTATACTTCTCAAGGAGAACCATCGAACTGCACTTCTAACTGTCGAACTGCTCCTCCATGATCGCTGATCATGTTGCGTTATAGTTAGCTCCACTATGCCAATACCTCCAGTTAGGCTTCCCTCATGATTTTTGAATTTAAATGTGAGTAACCGTTGAAGCCACATCACTTTGCATCTTTTTGCTGATCCAATACTACGCAAAACTTATGAAAAACCAATATTAGCTGTCACGTATACGATCACGATCGAAGGTTTGAGTTGTCTTCCCGTATTACCCTTAACCTGCCATGTGTTGAAGTGTAATTGGCTTATACAAAATATATAGCCAACATTACCCCCCCGCACTAATATACCCAGTACTTGGTGATATTAGTGGATCAAGGTCTTTTATCCACATTTTAGAACATGCATGGGCTTTGCATTTTTAGAAACACAACCGTCATTCATTGATGAACATTTGCATTAACTCCTTTTTGATCCCTTAAACAAGCTCACTATCTCAGTATTTGAAAAGTCCAATTCAATGGATAAACAGACCTTTTCTTATCTCGATCAAGCATATGAAGAGTTGTTTGATAATACCGTTCGTCCTCGAAAGAATCTTCATGCATTGATTAGCCACCTTTACCCACCTTTCTATATTCAAGTCATGGAAACTTTTGCAAATTATCAACCCTTGGACTACGAACACATTGTCCACAATCCTTTGATTCAGAAACTTGCAAATATGGACATGGGAAGTTCTTCTTCTAATCCACAATCTTCTGCATGGGATGAGGCTATGGTTTTTTTTTCCTCTAGGGCTTCTGGTTGGAGAAGCTGGTCGGAACCTGAGACATGTGAGTTAAGGAAGCGAGTTAATCACCACTTTGTCGAGTTCACTGATCCTCTAGAATTCCCTTCTGATGCTCGAAGTTTGGTGGTTTATCCTTACGTGCCCATCAACCGCCGACGCAGTTTAGAGGACAATCTGCTTGTAGCATGGTACACATCCTCCATGCCTACAAAGATAGTACAAGCTACCCGACGCCCAGAAGAGGCACAAGGGTATAACCCATCGTTCTTAGCCCAGAAGGCGAGCGTTTGCTCTTCTGACTGGCTTGATTGTGTTAATGCCCCTCAATTTCCTCCTTCTTTCGAAATGGAAGCCTCTATACCTCCTCCTCTGCAAAATCCCTGCTGGACAGAGAGACTGAGGCTTACCCTCTCTGCGGACAAGGGTTTTCCTCCTTATAAGCCTCCACCTTCCCCTACTCCAGCTCAACGAAAGCAAGCCCAACTTCTGCTTGTGGCCTTTTCTCACTTGCCTTTCAATGTTCTTGAAGATGATGTTCCTCTTAAGAACCTTCGATGGGCTTGTGATATTATGACTCGGG